GAGCGAGAAAAGAAGTGGCTTTTTTTTTTTTTTCCTCTCGAGAAGAGCAAGGGTTAAATGGAGTTAAGAGCAGCAAGCGTTAAGCTATTGAACACGGAAATGACGGGAGGGGAAAGCACAGAGAAAAACACGGTTTATTTTTAAACTGTGAAAAATGGCATTAAAGTCACTGGTAATAGGCTTGCCGAACTATTGTACAGACTACGGAGTGATTTGAGAGAAGGAATGACAATAGGACATGCATTAATAAAGGTGACTTTATAACTTTCTGCCTAGACATTTCAAAGTTCCTGATTTTTCAAAGAAGAGGTGAAAATCATGAGTATGCCTTTGTATAAATCAGCAAGAGGCAATAGAACAAAAATTTGCGTTGATTGTTATGAAATATAAAACCTGGAAACAAGCGTACACTCTGACCTGAAAAAACAGACACATCTGGTGTTCTAGGCCCAAGTCCTAAAGCAGAAGTGTTGTGGATTCAAAACCACCTCGGAGTTGGCTGTGAAGATTTGGATCTTTTGTCAGTCTGTAGTCAAATGAACGTAATGGGAGGGGAAAAAAACAATCTTGCAATTACCCTTTCTCAGAGTTTGCAGTGGAGAAATTCAAGTGAAATCTTGATAAACATGTTACTGTTTAATCGGAGGAGGAAAACGGCAACAGAAACACATGGCAGGATTTGGCTGCCATGAAAGGATTAAATGTACTCTCAAGCTTTAATATTACATACAAAATACTCTGTTAGAAATGCTAAGTTTAATGCACCATACAAATATAGTAAAGGAGGTTGATGACTACAGAGCGGGTTTCTGGGAGGCACCAAGTGATTTAAGGACGTGTTATTTAATACTCAACTCTGAATTTCCTGGCTTTTGTTCAGTGTTTTATGACCTTGTATTTTTAGAAGCATTTTCTATTTTCTGGTGCTTAGTGGTGGCGTGTTTGGGTTTTTTTTCTTATAAGATGATCATAGCTTTATGGCCATCAAGTCCTACTGCTGGTTTGTTTTGCTTTGACCAACTCTTTTTGCTCATGAGCTAGGATTTAGAGATGGAACGTCTCTGGTCTGTTAGTGTAATTGTAGAAGTATATTTTCAAGCTTTCTTTGTGCTATCCTTGTTTTTCCTCACTTCTTTCCTTTCCCTTGGTGTTAAAAAAAAGAAATTCATTACCTCAAGGAAATTACAAGAGGCTCAGCATGTTTCTGAAGTATAGGTAACATAGGAAATACTGTGGATACTCTACCAGAAGTCATAAAGCACAGTTAGTAGGTAATAATAATAATAATAAAATACCTTTACTCTAGCTCTTAAATAATAGTAAGTGATGAAGGTTGAAGAGTTCCTAGATTAGCCCAGAGGACTGTGAAAAGGAGAGGTGCTAATATAACATGTACACTTTTCTTTCTCCTAACTGCAAATGGGAGTGAATGGCCTCCTAAGTGGCCCATCTCTTCTTCCTGGTAATTTAATAAAGGTGGCTATTAGGGCAGCCCCATGTATACGTTACCAGTCTGGTACCTGGAGTTGCTAACTGGGCTAAGCAGTGAATGGTATCAGGGCATTCCTACCTGAGAACTGGGGAAAAAAACACTAAAGCATCTGCTGCCTTCTCTCCCTCCTGGATTCTTCAGCCCTAAGAACACAATAAAAGGGAAGAAAATGAGGTTTGGTGAGGAGAATAAGGGAAGATAACAAGTAAGAATGTGCTTAGCACTGTGAAATGTTGTTTGTACAAATCAGTTGCAAATAGAGGTCTGAAAAGAAAGCATTCAAAGTATCTTCCTGTGGAATATTGGCACTTTCAGTGCTTCTGCTGTTATCTAAGTAGTTGTGGAAGAACTGTAAGACTTTTTGTTGAAAAGAAATTTGAATCACACATTGAGCGTGGATGAAGATCTGTTGTGTTCTTGACCAAAATACTCTGGGAAGGGGGAGAAGGTGGATCTGTCCAAAGCCACCAGTAGTCAAGAAGCAATTCTTACTGTTTTCTGTTACTGTAGTATAGGTACCTTGTACACTTAAGCTTTCTCTGCTGTCTCTATAGATTTCTGGCTACAAAACTATTTTTCTGGAGTAATTTCCTCTTGTCTGTGACTGGTAGGAGGCAGAAAGTGGTAACACCAGTTCTGTCCTTCCACCCTGGATGTGTTGGGAATACTTGCCTCTGAAAAGATGGGGGGCAGGGGAACAATCGGATTAAAAGCTTTCAAAGTAATTTTTTCATATAACTACCTTCATAGTTTTAATGTGCTGATGTATTGTGAGCACTGATATTTTTGTTTCATTGGTTTGTGAGAGGAATGATGGTCCTCTCTATGTAATTTTGAAGATTCCTTTCATTTTCTTGCATGCCAGTGGACAACTTGTATGGCAACATGAGCTGCAGTAGATGTCTCTTTCTACCCATTGCAGCTGTGATGCTTTGTGTACTACATTTCTGGACCTGAAGCTTTTTGCAAGCATGCTACAGAGTGCTTAAAAATCAAAAGTGCCGGAAACCCAGGGACTGATCAGGCAGTGGAGGTTTAAAGAAAGGAATACAGTCTAGCGTCAGGATAACAGCTCTTTAAATTTTGTTGAGGTTCAACAAAACCTGAGGGTCAGTGCTTTTTTGTGTTACCTCTCAGAATCATAGTGTTACTTAAAAAAAAAAAAATAATGGAGAACATAAATGGGGAGGTGGTTGAGGGGAAGATGCATTGACTGCAGCATTGTTTACCAGAACAGGCTAATTTCTTTCCGCAGTGAACTGTTATGTTATACTTCTATGAATTCTGACTTTGTCAAAATCTGGGTATGAAATACATATATGTTGGCATCAGTGATACTGTAATATATTAGAGACTATACCTAAGGGTATTTTTGGTTTTTAGATGGACAGACATACATTTCTGTGTTGCTGGCCATTAGCTGTGCGAGCTGATAGAAAGCTAATGCTGTCCTAGTGACTGTTGTTCGGGGTATATCTATATAAGTGAGACATGGAAAAAAGTTTCAGAAAAAAATGTGTGTCATTTCACTTAATTGTAGTATTAGCAGCTCTGAGCTATAGGTAAGTGGTAAAGAAAGCATAAGGGTTCAGGCAAGCGTATGCTGCGCGTAAAGCAGTTACCGCATAAAATAAGTAGCTATTAAGGTAAGACATCTTTAAAAATATTCCCACATATTTCTAAAAGATTCAGAATTAACACATGGATCTTGTTGAAAAACAGGGATTTCATAAATGCTGTATGTAATATGAACGTTCCACTAGACAGACAAGTTCAGTTTCCAGCAGATAATCATCTGTGCTATGTAGTATAAGGAGATAAAAATACAAACTCAATGCAGATTGTAACTATGAAAGAAACTATATACAGGATTAGGTAAACAGACTAAATCATTAGTGCTGAAATCATGAAAAGTCCTATAGTAACTTCACTTAAGTTAGTCTTGTGACGATTGTCCAAAAAAAGCTGAGGAAAGTTACGCAATTTTGAGTAAGCTGCCATTGCATGAACTTTTTCTAATGTATCGCAGGCCAGGAAATCTTAACCAGGCACATATTTACAGTGCATTTGCCTTTGAACTGTCTCTAGTGCCAAACTAAAAAAAAAAAAAAAAAGTACAAAATTATTATTTGTCAGTGCAAACTATGCATCACGATTTCTGTAACAAACAGAAGAGGATTCTATAGTAACAGGTCTGTGTTGTCATTCAGTGATACAAGGATGGTGTCAATTTTTCTGGAAGAAAACACTTGAAGTACATTCAGTACAGTATGGATGTTTCAGATGCCTTTGTAGTTCTGAGATGTCTTGCTTTTTTAAACTGGGGAAAAAGTTGAAGTAAAATCAGTAATTTGCACGTTTTTTTTTTTTTTCTTGTCTCAGTGAAACTTTCCTAAGGAATTCAACAGAAGATTAGGCCTTGATTATTTTATTTTTGGCAGTGTGAGCAAGTCATTGAACCACCTGTTGGAAATAACTGCAGTTCAGCTTATGTAAACTTCATTTAAGGATTTAAACTATATAAACATGCTTACTTTTGTCTAGGTAGACACTCCCATAGACTTCTTTTGGACTATTTGGTGCATATGCATTACACTTAGATTTAGGTTCAAAGGTTATATTTTTGAAAGCTGAAGTGGCTTCTCCAAATATGATTTTATTTGATTTGTCTTTTTCGAGTAGATGGAATTTATATTAATTCCAATTTAATTTTGCTAAAGGACTGATGTTACTACTTTTAGTAAAAATCATCAGTGTGAATGACTGCTTAAAAAATAAAGTAAAGCTTTGCTCCTTAAGCGTGATAAACTCATAGTTGTTAAACACTTTTACAAAAGCCCAATCGAGAACAATTCTGGTAATTGAACTTGACTGTGATCTGGTTTACAGTGTAAAGTTCTAGCTTTGTACACCTCTTTTTCCTTCTCTGCCCCGATGCATCTGTTTGCAGAATTCTCTCTTTAACGCTGAAAATGATTAATTTTTAGTGTTAAATAAGACATACTTTAAAAGTGTTCTTTGAAATGTGTTAACTGTAGCTTGCAACTGTGAAAGAGGTCTGTTTTGGGGAACGTAAGGCAAGTGTTCGTATGATCTGCTTCAGGCGTTTGGAACCTCCAATTCAGAAGTTCAGAGCTGGGTGTCAAAATTCCTTTTTATTCACAAGCAAGGAAGTGGGATTCGGGTTACCAAAGAACATGGCAGCAGTATGTAATGTCAAGCTAATGGGCCACTCAACTTCGTGTCCCATTAGTGACAGTGGCCATAACTGAGTGCCTACAGAAAAATCAAAAACCATGTTGGGCAAATATGGTGTATCTGTGTTTTCCCCTCTCAGTTTTCAGCCATTTTAAGCTGAAGGACATCCTGAGCAGAAGGCAGTTTCTCAGTTAATTTCTGTTCTAGAAGCTTACCCAGTGTCCACTTCAGCATCCCTAATACCCTTTGGTAAGAAATTCTGCAGTTCAGCTACCTGCTCTGTAAAGAGCCTCTTTCTTGTTTTAAAGCTGGCTGATAACCGGTATCTCCTGACTCCTCCTGTAATCCAGCGTAGCTTGGTAGTGCTGAAAGTCTGAACTAGTGTGTTGAGACAACAGAGAGGTATGTGGAATATTTGAAAGTAGTTAACTGCTTGATGCTGTTGAGTTTGCTGTTAGAAATAGTAACGGTATGTAACTACAAATAAAAGCAGCATACTCAAGTAGTAAAATGGGATTCATAGGAGATTATATTAAAAGGACAGCAGTTCTAAATTTAGGGTGTCTTCTGTCTTAATGGGATGAAAGTAGTTTTGGGCACTGACTTCCCCAAGCATGTTGCTTCACCACATGAAGTGTTTGGCAATACTGGTAAGGTATCCTGTTACTTCTGCCCCTGTGTCGACCTCTTATTTGCAGTGTGACAGCTGTGTGTGGCTGTGTTGTGAACTGGATCAGGGAACTGATCTGCTGCTTAAAAAAAAAATCTGGTAGGTTTCTTAAAGCCCGATCAGCTAATCAATCTGGTTTATGGTACAGCCTTGCAAATAGCTGCCTGGATTGGGGAGGGGATGGCAGAAGGGGACTAGTTTCAGGAAGAGGTGCTAAGAATACCTTGAATTGGTATTGTTTCCAAACACTTAGCTTGTGATTTCACAAAACAAAGTCTGTTGGGTAATAGCAGGTACATTTTCAATAATATTTGGCTAGTTCCTACTACTTTAGTCTTCTATGGGGAACACTTGCCCAAATAAGGAGACTGCCTCAGACTGAAACTACACAGATTGTCAAGTGCAGAGAGTAACCAAGGGAATTTCTTTGCTGTCTATTCTAAAAAACTAAGGACGTTTAAAAAGAAAGTATCTTTGCTTTCCCACCCCACCCCCCACCAAACTACTGCATCGTTTAATCAGAGCTATCTGAATTTAAGGGATCTCTCAGGAGTTTAATGTTCTGCCCATAAAGTTTTGGGTGCTTTTTAGCTGAAGGATTTCTGCATACTTAGAAATGATAATCTAATTTATAGTAGCTAAATAGTGAGCTATCAGCACTTGAAAAACAAGCAAACCTATGGAAGCTCTAAGGTTATGTACTTGGTTATTACCTTCCTTGGCATAGCCTGAGGAAATAACCTGAAAGTGGTGAACAATAAAACGTGCATGGTGTCTTGTGTATGGAGGAGTAAATTACTTTTTTTCCTTCATGTGGGACTTCTAAAAACAACATGCAGAAGGTAGGTAATAAGCTTAATATTGTAAAACCTGTGAGGTGATCAAAGGATCTTTATATAAAATGTTTAATAAACACATATTGAAGTGAGTAATGCATTTGCACCCAGAAAAGTAAGATAGTTGGCTAGTTGCCTTGAGGTAGTTACACACTGAGGTGAACTAGTTACATTAGAAAAACTTTGTAGGTTAAACCTAATCTCAGTGAGTGAAAAATTCATGCTGTGCTAGCAAAGTTTTGGATGCAAATGCAGCCATAGTGAAATGGAGAGTTCTCCTTGGCTGAGTATATGCCATTTGGTAAGAGATGGTTGGTGCTGGCTCTACAGGCAGATAAGCATTTACTGGTTTACCAACATTTACACTAGAGGGCTCTGTAGTGTAGGTCAGCTGTGCCTGATCTTTTGGGCTGGCTATGCTGTAATTTTTCTGCAGCTTCTTCCTTGATGTATGACCTGACTTGCTAAACAGGAGACATGATTAATCTGTGCCTGAGCAGTAATTCCAGTGTTAATGCCACTGGAAGGAGTATGGGGTGGTTTTTTTGGCATACGCAGATCAATTGCAGTGCAGGTGCAGCAGGCCTCCATGTCTGGACTGGAGATGATAGCTGGAGTGCTGCAGCCCAAGTGATTTGTACAGCACACTCAAAACAGTAATCTCTTTTCATCATGCCTCAGAGCCACATGAGCCTGGGCATGGGATCTGCATGAATTATTCTTATGGCAATGACAATCTGTTCCTGGTTGCTATCTTATTGAAATACTTCTTGACAGGATCCAATATACTTTCCACCTTCCTCTTTTTTTCTTTTCTTTTTTTTTTTTTTTATTTTTTTAAAACTTTGACTTGTGACCCCATATGTGACTTTCACACAATAATTGAGGGATTTGGTGTGTCTGGAGAGACTGAGCTTCCTTGAACAGGTTGCTGCTAAAACAAATAATCTGGCCAAAAGCCTGCTTCCAAGTTGCCTTTGGAACAAAGGGCTGTGAAGAGGGTGACGCATTCAGAAAAGTTAGTCTGAGTGGAGTGTAAGTGGCTCTCGGGTTCAGGTTGAAAATTCCTAGAATAGACAAGAGCTGGCATTGGGGATTCTTGTAGCAGAGCTGATACATAGCGAGCCTTATAAGAAAAAGGAGTAGGAGCTGCATTAGCTCAGTTGCAGGCTGTAATGCTTAATGCTGTCCTGAAATAACATTCGGAACACAGAAATTAATTATGAGTTGTAGTTTCTATATAATGGCTGATGTTTATTCTGAAGGACATTAGAATTAAAGTATCTTAAATAACTTGAAGATTCAGAAGCACTAAGCATTAGATTGAAGTCAGTTATAACATGTTTCAGTCTATAAAAATGAGTAAGCCCTGTGCATTTGAGAAATCATACAGTTCTTTCAAACCCAGGTGGGCTTTTGTCAATGTTACTTACTGTGGTGAAACTATTTTCTAGTTTCCCTTCAAATAGTTGTAGAACCTTTTAGAGTAGTATATCCAGAACTTCTCATAGCATGCTTAGTTGCAGTGCAGGTGCCTACAATGAAAACTTAGTGTTGGAAGAAAATATTCTAGCATAAAAATGAGGCTGATTAGGATATTGTATACTGTTTGCTCATTACATAAGCCTTCTATTTTGAGTAGTTGGTATATATACCTTTGAATCATCTTCTGCAGTTATCTAAAATACATTTTTGTTGTGTTTTGAATGCAACTGTTTTTCAGGTCATGGGAAAACTCCAAAAGATGCTGCTTCTGTTCGAGCTACACATCCTATACCTGCAGCCTGCGGCATATACTATTTTGAAGTCAAAATTGTCAGTAAGGGAAGAGATGGGTAAGCATTGAGTGCATTATTAATTAATTATTACTTGAAATACTGTCTCACGTAATCTTTCAGTCAACAGATGTCAAAACTTGTTTTCATATTTTAATACTTTTGATATAGCTTAATTCCTTTTTCATGAGAAGTCACACTCTGGTATTTGATTGTTTTAAGGGAGTTGATTGTGGTATTTATTGTCCACAAATCATTGTACATCATAGATACCATAACAGCATCTTCTCATTTTCTCTTGACAGAGAAGTTAGGGTTTGAATGACCATGGTTTGACCCTGCTCTTACCTTTAAAGCTGTTGGCTTTTGACCATATGGTTACAGACTTTCATGTAGTTTTTAGGAAGTTTCTAGGGTGTGCAGTGGACCAATTTACCTCCTCACTGCAGTCTTTTCAAAGATGTCGTATCAATTGTAAACCAGAAAGTTATTCTTAAGACTACTTGTTGGTGAATGGTAATAAAAATAAAGGGGAATGTTCTGGATAGGTGCCTGAGAATTTGTCACCCTATGGAAAGAACAAGAGTTGATGAGTGAGTGCAGCTGCTGCTTCGCAGAATCCATCCAAATCATGAATCTGTTGAAGCGCAGGTGATGCCATGCTTTTAAGTCTACTGAGACAGATACAATCTCACCTGGGAAAGTCCTGAAGTGCTAATGAAGTCTTTGCTAGACCATTTGAATTCATTTTCGTCTTCCACTGCTTTTGTTAGAGGGTGTGTTTTAATCCTGAGACATTGATTTTGTTGCCTGTGTAGGACCACATCAGCAATACTTCTTTCTGATATGCTGTGGTATATGCTGTGGTTCTACTTCAGGGTTCTAGTCAGGATTGAATGTCCTTGTCCTAGGTACTGTAGGAGCATGTTGTGGATGCTTATGTCCTATTGTAAATCTTGAGAAAGAGAACTACGTCGTAGTTCTTCGGATGAAATTCGGTACCTTTGTCTTTTCTTTGTCTGTCTTGCTGCTGTTTCTTCCATTTTCGCAGTGTTCTGTAAGCCTTCTGTAAGTCAGAAACAGTGTTCAAACTTTTTTGTTCTGCTTACAGTATTGTGTAGAGATACTTTGAAAGAATAGCCTCTTAGTACTGCTGTTGCCTTGTGGTAGCATTTATGAGTTCGTTATCAGTTCTGTTCCCAAAAGTTATCCCTGGAAGATTTCTTTGCTATAAAAAACTAGTTGCTTTTGTCACGCTATGAAGACCTAATTATTTTTAAATCAAGACAATAGAAATTAGTGTTCTGAGTAGTGTTTTGCTATCAATTTTAGGAACACCTGTTGTGGTGTGGGTGGTATTTTTTTTTTTTTAATTCCTTAAACATTTTTTAAAAATTGCCCTGCTACTGTCAGCTAAGAAGTTGTTCTTACTGGGAGTTGCTAGTGATGCACATGTCTCTTCCTGAAATGTATTTCTGCCTGCTTAATTTGGAAGCAAGCTTTTTTGAAGTGATGGATTTCAAAAAGCCTCCATGTGTGTGGGGATGTCATTTTTAAATTGCTCCTCTAACACTTTACCTTAGACCTTTTTGTGTTGCTTTTTAGTAATTTCTAATTCAGTAGGCCACTCAAGGCAATCCTACAGAAGTAGAAAACACCTTTGAGTAAAGTGTTTAAAGGTTTTGTTGTTTAAGTGGTTATTTGAGGTGTACATCTGAAGTTGCCTGCTGTCATTGCGTAAAAAAATGGAGGGGTACTTTTTTCAGTTAATGATAACACATACTGCTTTGTCCTTGCTTCAGCCTTGTGACTTTTTTTAGTGTCACTTTATGAAACATTAGCTGTATAATGAGCCGAGATGTTCATTTTTTTCATTGTATAATATAGTATGGGTGCTGTGCACAGAGCCAAATCCAAATGTAGTTTAGCTGGTGAAGAGCAGGAGTCGATATGTGGAGTCTCACTGGATGCAATGTGTGTATCTCTAGACCCTGTTTTCAGGTCCAAGAGGTCTTTGACTAGGTGCAGTGTGTATCTCTTGCTGTTCAATGTTACGCTGCGTTCGAACTAATAAATTTTCCCGTAATACGTAAACTGGGAAATTTAATGCAGAGATATATAAGTAGGTCTATAGAGACCAGTTTGTGTCTGATAGGGTTTATTAGTTCTTTCTCACTGTCTGTTGTGTTTCACCTGGCTTGCTCTGGGTACATTTTTACCGTTTTTTTTTTTTTTTTTATTTTTTTTATTTACTTACTTGGCATCTGGTAATGGGAACAGAGTTCAGGAAGACCATATCTGTAGAGGACCAGCATGTAACTAATAGGGTCAATTAGTTAAAACACCTTCCTGTTGCAAAAGCATCTATTCTCAAGGCTTGAGCCTAGCTGTGGGAGCACTACAGCTGTATTTTATAGTCCTGTTTAAAATAAATCCTAGACTACCTGAGGCAACTCAGATATCTATCTGGAAGCTGAAGTACGGCTTTCAACTTTCATAAATGTCAATGGATAATTTAATGGTGTTTATCTGGAGTTCCCTTTGGTTAGTAGCCTTTACTATTTATAATTACTTTTTTTAAAGAAACTCAGCTTAATGTATTTCGTTGATGTTATATGGGCGAGTCTAACAGCATTCTCGCTTGTGTGCTCTACTTAGCATGACTTGCCTTAAATCATCAAAAACCTTTACTAAAAACCTAGTCTAGGAGATTTATTTTTTGTGCTGCTGTGCATAGCACTTGATGGCACTGCTCCTGGAATATGATCTTGCGCATCTCAAAGTTGCTGGGCAATCACAAAGATTATTCTACTCCTCTGACGACTCACAGCTCTTTTATAGTATAGGGCATGAATATGGCATGGCTTCCAGTATGGCTTGTCATAGCTGTCTGTGCAAGAGCAGCATTGGTTTTGTCATACTAATGACCTAGGTCATTAAATTCTTCACATATTTGGGGGGTAATAGTCTTGAGTAGGAATTGGAAGATGTGTAATGTGTTACTTTTGCAGATGTTCATGATGATCAGCTTCTAGGCATTATGGACACATTGAAGAAAGCACAAAAGCAGGCTTAATAGGAAGTAAGAAATGGTATGGAGGCTGGTGTTGCAGAGCGGTTGAAGAGTGAAGTTGCTTTTTGATACCTCAGTAAGGGGTGGTAGGGCCATGCAGCAACAGATAAGAAAAAGAGAAGTGAGAATTAAGGTTGTTAATAAGGTTGAAATATCATTAAAACAAAAACTGTCTTGGTATTTGTACAGCTGTGCTGGTTTTGGCTGGGGTAGAGTTAATTTTCTTCACAGTAGCCAGCATGGGGCTATGTTTTGGACTTCTGCTGGAAACAGGGTTGATAACACAGGGGTGTTTTCACTACTGCTGAGCAGGGCTTGCACCGCGTCAAGGCCTTTTCTGCTCCTCACTCCACCCCACCAGCGAGGAGGCTGGGGGGGCACAAGGAGTTGGGAGGGGACACAGCCAGGACAGCTGACCCCAACTGACCAAAGGGATATTCCATATCGTATGATGTCATGCTCAGCATATAAAGCTGTGGGAAGAATAAGGAAGGGGGGGTGACATTTGGAGTGACGTTCAGAGTGATGGCATTTGTCTTCCCAAGTCACTGTTATGCATGTTGGAGCCCTGCTTTCCTGGAGAGGGCTGAACCCTGGCCTGCCCATGGGAAGTCATGAATGAATTCCTTGTGCTTTACCCATTAAACTGTCTTTATCTCAACCCATGAGTTTTCTCACTTTTACTCTTCCAATTCTCTCCCTCATTCCACTGCTGGGGGAGTGAGCAAGCGGCTGGGTGGGGCTTAGCTGCCGGCTGGGGTTAAACTATGATGACAGCGTTTGGCACAAAGAGTCCATACATCTTTATGTGCTGCTGCAGTGCAGATATGTGAAATAATTATCTTAAATATTTTAAAATTCTTGCTAAAAGTGCTAACCGGCTGTCAAGTTGCTCTGTAAATATTTTCTGTTATTCTTTATTTCTTCAGTTTTCTTGCTTAATTTCATGTCTCCTTTTGCAGTCTGAGGACCTCTATTTATTTACTGCTTTAATGCTCTCTTTTGCTTTGTTTTGTTTGGCTTCACATGGAACATTGTGGACAGTGATGAGAACGATTGGAGATGGTAACAGTAGATGAGTAATGGGTGTAAGTATGGGAAACAGTACCAAGGTGATTAGAAAGCATGGTAGGAAGGAGAGTATTAACTGCAATAAATTATATCTGCATCTCTGTTGAAATCTCCAGTTAATTTAAAATGAATAAATACATATATGTGTCAGTTAATGCAAAGTATTGCAGCAAGTACTGTCAAAAATTCTGATGTAGTTGGGGAAGCTAAACATAGTTTTAGCTTTAAATTAAGCCTTTGTAAGCTCTTGATGCAGCCCTCATTTGTAATTGATCTGTCAGAGAACCAGAAGTAACGTGTAGTTTTTGTTCTGTAATTTCTTAATGCAGTGCTCAAGGGAGTGAGATAGGCATGGTGTTGCCTTTTGCATACAACTCTATTTTTAGTTTCATCTAAATTTCTAGAATAGGAGCTTAATTAAAGCAAACGACATTGGCAATCTAGGAATGGGAATGAACAAGGGTGTGCTAAGTCCTGGGGACCTGTTCTTGTGGGGCTGTAAGCCTTGGTCTCTAAATCTGTTATAATGCTGTAACTGTCCCTCGCTTTCCAAAGATGACCTCCATGGTGGCCATTCTCTTAGCTAGGTAAGTATATCCAAATGAAACTTTTTCCAGTCTCTCTCAAATCTTAATTTCAGTTTTCTTATGCTGCTTTTTACTGAGTTTGGTTGTGCTAGTGTCTCATGTATTTAGGTCCTCTTGCTTTGTGTAGAGCGGTAATGCATCTGCCTTACAGCCCCACAGTTAATACTTTATTTCAGATACCAGTTAACGTTTCCCTCTTACACAACTAAAGACACTTGCATGATACTGTCACAGTTTATGTAAACTACAAGTCCAATAGCTTTGCGCTGTTGCTGTGGGCATCCTTCTTTAATGGTGAAGAGTCGTCTATAATCTCTCTCTCTCTCTGT